GTAACATTCAAAGTGTATTAAAAGATATGTGTACTCTTTTTCCTTCACTAAGATTTTTTCCCACGGGGTTTTTTCCTAATAAGATTTTAATGAGGCATATTATCTATGGACATCCAAGGGGGAGTGTTATAAAATATTATAATGTGGATGTCCCATTACACCAAGACATTTTCTCTCACCCATTATCTCCATTACTTTCCTCCATTATGAAGATAATCATAACCTCCATAACCTCCAACTTTATAACCATTATTCTTGTAACCTTTCACTTCCATAACCTCATCCATTATATTCATGTTAATGTCATGTTTATGACTAACCTTTTATATGTCTCTATGTTACACTATAAATAGTGGCATAAGGGTTCATATTGTAGAGACGTGAAGACTGGGAATAATAAGAAAATCTCTCATCTCTTGTCTCCCTATTTCCATTGTTCATCTTCAATATTTCTTGTCTTATTTTGCTTTAGTTTTACAACAACAATAATATTATGACACATTTATGTTATAGTTCACCAACTTGTACTATATAAACATTTCCTTTTTCACCATAACTATTGAGGGGCCGCCGTTCACATGATTTATTTTCCTATATAAGTATGTGCCCTTTCCCATAAATCATACAACAAACTTGCAAATATTGTCTATTATTTGTCTTATTATTATTTGCAATGGCTTTTGTGTGGGCAACATTCATTTTGGCTCTAATTTTATTATTCATTTTCTATGAGTTACTAAATATCAAAAACAAGAAAAAACTTCCTCCTGGTCCAAAAGGCATTCCAATATTAGGACATCTCCATCTTTTAGGTGAAAATCTTACTCATGATTTACACAAATTTTCTCTAAAATATGGTCCTATCATCTACATGAAATTTGGATTGGTACCAACTTATGTTATATCTTCCCCTGAATCAGCAGAAAAAATTCTCAAAACTTATGATCATATTTTTGCTAGTAGGCCTCATAACGAGACCGCTCAATACATATCGTATGGCCAAAGGAATTTGATTTTCTCAAAGTATGGCGCGTATTGGCGTAACATGAGAAAATTGTGTACGGTCCATTTGTTGAGTAACATGAAGATTAACTCATTCCAATCTACTAGAAGTGAAGAAATTGCCATTATGATCAAATCGATCAAAGAAATAGCTCAAGGTCGTCGTGTTGATGTTGATCTTAGTGCTCAAGTGTCGAAGTTGAGTGCCAACTTGAGTTGCTTAATGGTTTTTGGGAAAAAGTTCACGGATGACGATTTGGACAAAAGGGGATTTAAGTATTTAGTTCAAGAGGTTACAACTCTAGCTGCAACACCAAATCTTGGTGATTTTTTCCCTTTTCTTGGTGTTATTGACCTCCAAGGACTCACACGTAGAATGAAGGACACTTCTAAGGTGCTTGATCCATTTGTAGAGAAGATTATTGATGAACATGTCAATGCTAAGGACCACAAGAAAAATAAAGACTTCGTAGACACTATGATGGAAATTATGCAATCTGGTGAAGCAGAGTTCCAGTTTGATCGTCGCCATGTCAAAGCTGTCATGTTGGTATGTTCATTCTCTCTCTCTCAATTTATTAGTTTAACAGATTTTTTAAAACTTAACATCTAAAATAAGTCATATAATTTTCTATGACAATAAATAAGGAAAGATGTCAATTCGTATATACCAGACTAAAAGTAAAAGAATGTTACTCCCTCGTCTCATTATACTCCCTCCGTCCCTATTTACTTGTCCATATTTTCTTTTTTGGTTGTCCCTATTTAGTTGTCCATTTTGACAAATCAAGAAAGGACAACAAATTTTTTCCTATTATACCCTTATTTACACTTCTTGAAAACTGTAAAAGTGTATGTTGTTTCCCTCCAATTTATTTCACTTGAATTCAAATAAGTGGTTGTAATTTTGAAGTGAAAAGTTGTTATAAGGGTAAAATTGTAACTTCACCGTGCTAATCATTGTTGCCTTAATCTGTGTGCCATTTCTAAAGTGGACAACTAAAAAGGGACGGAGGGAGTACCAGACTAAAAGTAAAAGAATGTTACTCCCTCGTCTCATTATTGTTTGACTTGAAATAATGTTTAAGAAAAAAAAAATTAAAATTTGTGATATAAACACAATCCTTAAATATTTATGTAATTGTAAATCATTTCATTAAAAGTAAAAATATCAAAATTACGAAATTAAATTATTTCTAATTATAGTATTTTAACACGAATTAAAAATGAAAGGGTGTTGGAGTGAGGGAGGACTAAAATTGAAAAAAGAAACAATATGCTTACTACTAGCATAGCAATCAATCAACTATATGTCATTTCAAAAATTAATTTGAGTCAGCTACATGAATACTTTATATTATCTTTATTATTATGACTCAATATGATCTAGATGATTCATCATAATAAAAAATTATTGTTATACTAATTTTTTAATTTAAATTCAGGACATGCTTGTGGCATCAATAGATACTTTTTAAATTTAAATTCAGGACATGCTTGTGGCATCAATAGATACATCATCAAGTTCAATTGAATGGATGCTGTCAGAGCTTCTAAGAAATCCAGACATAATGAAGAAACTCCAAAAAGAATTAGAAGAAGTAGTAGGCCTAAACAGAATGGTACAAGAATCAGACTTAGAAAACTTAAAATACTTAAACATGGTATTTAAAGAGTCATTTAGGCTACATGCTGCTGCCCCATTACTACTTCATGAAGCCATGGAAGATTGTATGGTAGATGATTTCTATATCAAAAAAGGATCACAAGTTATTGTCAATGCATACACTATTCATAGGGATCCTAATTTTTGGACTGACGCTGATAAGTTTTTGCCAGAGAGATTTCTTGAAAGTAACGTAGATGTTCGTGGACGTGATTATCAACTTTTACCATTTGGTTCTGGCAGAAGAAGTTTCCCCGGGATGCAATTGGCATTAATTATTGTTCGTCTTGTTGTAGCACAATTGGTTCATTGCTTTGATTGGGAACTCCCAAATGAGATGCAGCCTAAGGATTTGGACATGACTGAGCAATTTGGTATAGTTACAGGCAGGGCAAATCATTTGATGGCTGTTCCAACTTATAGGCTACAACACAACTGATTTTGGGAAATTGGTTTTGATATATATCTAATTATAATATGACGTTTGACTTTTTATTATAGTGTATTTTTTTTTTAGTTATTTTGATTAAGTTCTTCTTAGTATGCACTTGTAATAGTACGGGAAAGGTCACTACAATAAATATTTCATTGTTTTTGCTACTTCCAATAAAAAAATATATACAATATTTTACTTCTAATCCATACTTTACTATATGTTTTCAAATATTTTAGGTTTATATATTATTATTTTATATTGTATATATTATTTTACCTATTATATTACATGATTTGAAAAAAAAGGATAATAACAATACTTTTGTAGGATGACGATATCATCACATGAATGGAACGTGATAAAATTAGGGATGAGAAGCGTTCCGAATTTTTGTGATGGATGATGAAATTTATTTTATTTTTGTGATGAATTTTTTGTATGTAATGATTTAATTTGTGAAATAATTTTTAAAGATAGAAGTGGGCAGCTTCTCGTTCGACTATATTCTTTTTAAATGCATTTTTCATACTCCTAAACTCATGATCCATTGGCAAGAATTGACGCTAACAGTCAAATCAAGAATTTTTTTCGATCATATTATAACGTGAATAATTGAATATTTTTCAAATAGTAAAAACAAGTTAATTTGTTAGCTGTTATCATCCTAACAATATCTCGTATGCTGAAAAATCATTAATAATCCACATTAAGACAGCCCACGAATTAAAAGTTTGCTTAATGGACACATCAAATGTTTCAACCCTTGAACCCACAACTGTTTCAATTCATCAATTAAAAGTTGCAAGTATTTATCAATCGTAGCACAATTAATTCGTTACTTTAATTAGAAGCTACCAAATAACTTGCACCCTAATGATCTGGATATGACTGTTAATCTAGATGTAAAATTGCAAGTATGTAGAAAATTAAGTTGCATGCAAGTATGTAAATTATACTAGAATTTTTATTAATCATGTCACGTAAAAAGTTAAAATTTTAAAAAATATCAAAAAAATAAAGAAACATTATTTTTGAATTTGACTAAAAAAGAACGTAATTAAGACAATAAATTGAAACGGAGGAAGCAAATACTTCTTTTTCAACTACTCTCTCTGTCTAATATATGCAACACCGTTTAGCTTGACACAAAATAAAATAAAATAAAATAAAATACTTTTAAAATTTGTGGTCTAAAATTATTCTTGATCATTTATATCATTAATGATAAAATTAAAATTTTAAAACTAAACTTTTACTAATTATAAAAAAAATGACATTCTGTATTTGAACTAAAAAAAATATCACATAAATTTAAACAAAATTCCAAGTTAATATTTTTACTAATAAGCAGAGTAGCAACTTACCAATAGCGGTCCACCTATGAATAGACTACACGCAAGTACAAAGGCATATAAGAAGATAAAAATATTGTCAAGTTGCACAATTGACAAATAGTGGTCCATTCCGTATCGATCGAATATGAAAGATATAGCATGGAAAAATCACGAAAAACACGATTTTTTTTAAATAAAGAGAGAAACGATTTCTAGTCTCGTACAATTTTTTTTTAATTCAATATATATTTTACTAGGAATCATTATTTTTACATATAAATTTTTTTTTATATTTACGCAACGTAAAGACCAATAAATACTGATCCACTATACAAATAACAACCGACAAATTATAGTGATCCACCTATGAATAAAGTACTACACACAAGTTTCGAAGACATATATATAAACGAGAACATCAATAGTCGTCAAGTTGCATAAGTTTGGAAAAAATGATTGCGCACACGTAATTGAATGGTCAAGTGAAATTGAATCCAAGAAATAATTTGATTTATGGATAACATCATTGTGGTAAAGGTCATAATTCTAGAGAAATTATTACCGAAAGACATAGAGAGGGAGGTCTAGCCTTGTAAAAATGTTTTTTTTTAAGTTTTATACTCCTTCGTTTAAAAAAGAATGACATATTTTTTTTAGTCTGTTTTAAAAAGAATGACATTTTTTTTTGGTACTCCCTCCTTTCATTTTAATTGTCATGTTGGGCTTTTCGAAAGTCAATTTGACTAACTTTCAAAGTTAAATTAATTTACTTTAATTCGATATTTTAAATAAAAAAAACTAGATATTCAAAAATTATACAAAAAGTACTATAAATTGTAATTTTTTGCATATCAATATGATGAATAAAAAATACATTGTAAAATGTTAGTCAAAGTTCTTATTGTTTGACTCTAAAAATGGAAATCATGACAACTAAAAGTGGACGGAGAGAGTATCATTTTAATTTTAATTTTTCACGTGACATGTTTCAGACAACAAAATTAAAAAAACATTTTTGTACATTTTACATAACTTTATTTAGGACCATAAAATTGAAAAGTCTTCTATATTTTTTTATATTACGTAGGGGTGTTCACGGTTCGGATAAAAACCGATCCAAACCGAAAAACTGAACCAAACCGATTAAATAAACCGATTTTTATTTGGGTTAGGTGTGGTTTGGTTTTAGATTTTTAAAAACCGATAGTATATGGGTTGGTTATGGTTTTGTTCGAAAAAAAATTGAAGAAATAACCGAACCGAACCGACAAATTATATACATATATTTAATTAATATACATACATAATATATTATTTTTATAAATAATTTTAAAGATCTTATATGTATTTTCATCAAAATTTATTTATAATTTACTTATCAAAGCAAAAATGTCCAAGGTGAAAATATTTATCTAATTGATTTTATGTATATGAGTGTGTCTATGACAATTCTTTATAAGATTGAAATTATCACTTTCTCTTTCTTCTAGGCCAAAATAATGAATTTTGAAGCTTTATTCATAGTAAATTCAATGATTGAAAGTTCTGTAATGTCAGTAATTCTAACTATTTTCGTTTCAAATGAATTGTTGTCACTTTTTTTCACGTTTTGAATGAATTGTTTCTTTTATTTTTGTCTATGATTAATAACCGAATAACCAAACCAAAACCGATAACAACCAAACCGATAAATATATACTATATTTGGTTTGGCTTGGTTTTGATAATTTTAAAACCGATTAAGTTGATTTGGTTTTGATTTTGACCAATTACCGATCCAAACCAACCTGTGAACACCCCTAATATTACGTATCAAGTCAAACTAGGTCATTTTTTTAAATGAATGGAGCATTAATTTTTATAAATAAATCATTATTTTTACAAGATCTTCGTTTTTATATAAGAAATTTGAAAAAAAAAAAAACTTTCTTCTAATCAAATTATAAAAGGACAAAAATAGCTCAAATCCTCTATCTTTCTTCTAGCCATTAAAATTTCTCCTTTGATAGATATAATGACTAAGAAATTTTTTTTGAAATTTGTGATATAAAATCATCCTTAGATATTTATTGTGATTGTAAATCGTTTCATTAAGGATAAAAATATAGAAATTATAAAATTAAATTATTTTTAATTATAGTATTGTAAAACGAATTAAAAATGAAAGGGTGTTGGAGTGAGGGAGGACTTAAATTGATAATTATAGTATTTTAACACGAATTAAAAATGAAAGGGTGTTGGAGTGAGGGAGGACTTAAATTGAAAAAAGGAATAATATACTTACTACTAGCTTAGCAATCAATCAACTATATGTCACTTCAAAAATTAATTTGAGTCAACTACATGAATACTTTATATTATCTTTATTATTATGACTCAATATGATCTAGATGGTTCATCATAATTAAACTATTGTTATACTAATTTTTAAATTTAAATTCAGGACATGCTTGTGGCATCAATAGATACATCATCAAGTTCAATTGAATGGATGCTGTCAGAGCTTCTAAGAAATCCAGACATAATGAAGAAACTCCAAAAAGAATTAGAAGAAGTAGTAGGCCTAAACAGAATGGTACAAGAATCAGACTTAGAAAACTTAAAATACTTAAACATGGTATTTAAAGAGTCATTTAGGCTACATGCTGCTGCCCCATTACTACTTCATGAAGCCATGGAAGATTGTATGGTAGATGATTTCTATATCAAAAAAGGATCACAAGCTATTGTCAATGCATACACTATTCATAGGGATCCTAATTTTTGGACCGATGCTGATAAGTTTTTGCCAGAGAGATTTCTTGAAAGTAATGTATATGTTCGTGGACGTGATTATCAACTCTTACCATTTGGTTCTGGCAGAAGAAGTTGCCTCGGGATGCAATTGGCATTAATTATTGTTCGTCTTGTTGTAGCACAATTGGTTCATTGCTTTGATTGGGAACTCCCAAATGAGATGCAGCCTAAGGATTTGGACATGACTGAGCAATTTGGTATAGTTGCAGGCAGGGCAAATCATCTAATGGTTGTTCCAACTTATAGGCTACAACACAGCTGATTTTGGGAAATTGATTTTGATACATCTAGTTATAATAATTATATGATCTTGTATAATAAAGTTTCTTTAGGGATTTTGATTGATTACTTCTTTGTATGCAATAAATATGTTATTGTTTTTGTTATTACTTCTAATAAATGACATATACAAACTTTTGGTTTTAATCCATACCCTTATTATATTATATGCCTATAAATATTTTAGGATATCCCTTGAGAAATTAAAGATACTTAACAACCTTAACGCAACTAATCAATTATTAGTTGGTGAATCTATGAATAGTCATTGTTACCCAAAATTGGAATTTTACGTGGATATCCAAAAATTTTGGTTAAAGGGTTTGATTGATGAAATTGGTGAATCAATGAATTGAGATATAGTTTGGTGATGATTTTAATTCACCTACTTTTTAAGAGTGGATGTTATTTCCATTAATATAATTATAACAAAAATATTTATATTTTCTTAAGAAGCATGTGAAAGAGAACTTGACCTAATCCAGTCTTCACTCTTCCAGCTATAGCAAACCTCATGGAACATTTAGGGTGTGTTTTTCCATGTTTGGTTTGCTTAAATGTTTTGAAAAATCAACTCATTTTCTTCAAATTTGGGTGTGTTTTGCATTTTTATGTCACCCCCACCCCCTCCCCACCACCCCGTAAAAAACATTAAAAAATATTTAAAATTTAAAATTTTCAATTTTTTTACCATCTCTCTCCCTACCCAGCCATCCCCCAACCGCCAATTCCCCGCCAATTTATCTAAAAAAAAAATGAAAAATAATTCAAAATTTTAGAATT